ACGTCAAACCTTTGCGGTCGCCACAGCCCAACTTCTAGACTAGTCAATCTTATTCTCTTTCGTCAAACTGGTTTTTTCGAGTTCAGTTTGAGCATCCGTTTATTGATAAACCGATGGTCATAATCAAGCCCGCTGTAGCAAGCAGGCCTGGGTTTGAAACCAATCCTGGCAACAAGCCGCGCATGCTCAAAAGAGATCTTACTCGATTCAAGCAGAATCAAGGAAACGAAAGAAAGACTCTGTTGGCAGGGTGAAATAACACTTACTATGATGTGTCTTTTCTTCATACTTGAAATCAGCACAACAGCCGCACTGTGGGACAGGGTCCTTGGTGCATGAGCAGCGGTCATCAGTGACAAAATCTGTGGGATTTGCAGGCACTTTTCACAAAAAATAAAAATAAAAATAATTTAACACTAAAAATAATAAGTAAAATGTCTGGTCAAAGGTAACTGGTTATGAATAATTAACCAGCAGATTGCGCCAATCAGAAACGTAGAAATCTTATCGATTACAACCTCGTCCCGTCCCGTCCCTTCCCGTGCCGTCCCCAAGCTTTCCCTTAGAAAATGGAAGGAGAAAAGTCCTGGAAGCGAGGTTGGCTCGGTTACCAGCCGCTTTTCGGGAAATGAGCCCGCGCTCCTCTCTCTCGGAGAAGAAGCATAAAGAAAGCTTTTTCTTGTACTCAGGTTTCCTTTTAAACTTAATAAAAGCCAACACATCTTGGTCTACGCTATCTTACCCAAACCTTAATAAAAAACGACCACTTTGTGACAACTGATGAGGTTTTAGTGAGAGTGCGTGCTCTTGCAGATGACCAACAAAAAAACTGCTTGTTAGAAGCCTGCTATTCCTGATGGGTCTTATAACCCGTATGCAGGGCCAAAGGCCAATCAAGGTGAGCTTGCAAAATGTGCAAGCAGGGAGGGGTACTAAGGTAAAATACTCGAGGGGTTACTTCCTTATAGGAGGCTAATGGGGATGGGGTCACATTTTCACGACTTGATTGACTATAATGGGGTCGCATTTTCAATAGAGTTACTACAATGGGATCGCACATTTTCGGAATTTTTGGGGTAAGAAACGGTTCTTCACATTTACGGTTAGCAAACGTACCAGAATGTTTGTTTGTACTGTAGGAAAGTAAAACGTACTTCATTCAATTTAAAAAAGTGGGTCAATTCAGTTTAAAGGGTTGATAAGGTAGATACATAAATAAAACAGTGACTGAGTTGGGATCGCGAAAATTATATCTGCTCAAAAGTGACTAAGATGGGGTCTATTATATGGCCACAGAATAGACTATAATGGTGTAGGGGTTCTGAGAGGCCGACGGCACATCCCGGGGGGGGGGG